CTATTTGAGGATATGAATCACATTTAAGGTTTAGTCACACCATACTCTTTTAAATACTAAATTTTATTTTTAAATCTAACCTTTATTTTATACCGAGTATTCTAGATTAGTTGAATTAAATACGGAGTATAAATTTTGCCAACTGTGGTAAACTGGTACGGACTACAATACTTCTTCCATCCATTAATTTCTTTGTCACTTTTCTTTTTAGACTGTCTAAAAATTCCTTTCCTGTTTCTTATTTTGGTAAAAATTTCTTTCCTGTTTCATCACATCAAAAACAACAGGTAAAATTTTTATAATTTTTATTTTTTTAATATCCATGTCAAGTCAAAACTGGAAAGAAATTTTTGAAGGAAGAGAGTGATCCGCAATGCCCCATTAATGGGGAGTACATTGACATGGCATGTTTCCCGCCCATTGGAGTGGTTAAAATTGATAAACAACCCCTAAACACGTGATATGGCTAATTTTGAGCATAGTAAAAAACATACGTACACAGTATTTTATTTGGAGTTTGATTGGAAACAATTAAAATGAACAATACACAAAACTTTGTGGTGAGTAGAATGGTATTTTTATGTCCCAAAATCTCTTTTACATTTGATTTTTTTCTTGGTCAAACTTTAAAAATTTTGATTGCAACTTTTAAAAAAAGCACATTTGATTATAAAGTAAATTTATTATAATTGACTTTATTTATATTGAATAGATTTTATATAGCATCAAATTTTCAAATAACGTATTTTTGTACAAATATACGGAGTAGTTTTTTAAGTCAAGCATTTGTTTAAATCATCACAAGATAACTTTCACTTCTTTTTTGATAAAAAAAGAAATAAGTAGCTTACAAAATTTTTTTCTTTCCTAAATAAATATTCAACATTTCTCGTAGAGATTTGAACATATGGCCTTACTATTTAGAAAAGTTGTAAGATGTCACTCGACAATGAGATTAGTATTTTTTTCGTTCCAAATTAATTTACATAGGTATTATTCACAAGGTAAATGTCATTCACTTTATTTTCTAATTTTTGTTACTCATTTGATTAAATAATATAGTAATGTCATCTCTTGTTTCGTAGAGTTTTGGATATTATTTTTTAATATGTAAATTTTATTTTATAATTATACACTAGTTCTAAAATAAATTATTTTGAAAATAATTTTAATCAAACTCCCTCCGTCCCCCAGTTTTTGTCCACTTTCATTTTTACACACCATCCAATGCACTTTTTTAATCCATTTTATCTTGTAACTTGTATATTAAAAAATTATAGAAATTATATACGGAGTATTAATAATCTATATGTTAAGACAAATCAAACAAGATCACACATGACTTTATTTAGGTTTATACATTGAGAGAATTAGATGAGTCAAAGTGCTTAGATGAACAGTTTCAAAAGCCAAAACTAGACAAAAATTGGGGGACGGAGAGAGTATAATAAATCAAAACAAGCGATTTAACTTGAAAGGGGATGAAAGAGTATGTGGTGTTTCTCTATGCCGGTGTTTTTTAGTTTATTGCTGATAAACAATTTTTAACTTATAAATTACTCATAAATAAAATATCTTTTTAAAGACGTGAAATAACTTAAATGGTAGATAAGTCATTTGTAAATATTCATAAATGGTGACAGATAATTTTATGAATAATATAATCAAAACGGACAAATGAAGAAATTGACTTAAAAATAAATAGCTGAGAGTTAAGATTTACATAGTACTTATTCTTGCTTGTAAGCCGATAGAAATATATCATCATCTGAATTATACATTAAAAACTATTTATAATTAATTTTGACTAATATTCTTTCCTTCCCGGAGTATTCGTCCAGTTTTGATTTTTGGAACTGTTCATCTAAGCATTTTGACTCATCAAATTCTCTCAATGTGTAAGCCTAAATATAGTCATGTGTGATCTTGTTTGATTTGTTTTAACATATAAATTATTAATATGTAATTTCTATAATTTTTTAATATACAAATTACAAGATAAAATGGATTAAAAAAATGTATTGGATGGTGTGTAAAAATGAAAGTGAACAAATACTTTGGGACGGAGGTAAGGTAGTAATTTTTAAGAGTAGAAAAACACAATTTTTATCTTAACTAGGGTAGGGTAGGTAAGAAGTCCCATAAACAATAGAGATAAAGGTACTAAGGTTGTGGACAAGTCTGACCAAACAAGTGGTTCACTACAGAGCAATATAGCAGACAATCCTTCTTCATCATTTTCTCCAAAATCTCTTCTATTTCATCCACAAAAACCCAGTTTTAGTTACAGAGAAGAAGCTGAACCAAAGAAGAAGAAGAAGAAGAAGCCATGGATCAGCTCAAACCAAGCCCACCAAATTCCAGCCCACTAACCCCTCTCACCTTCTTGGAGAGGACCGCCACCATCTACGGCGACTCCACCTCCCTTATCTACAACTCCGCCGTCTACACCTGGTCCGCCACCCATCTCCGGTGCCTCCGCCTCGCTTCCGCCATCGCCTCCCTCGGAATCCGGCGAGGTCAGGTGGTCTCTGTTCTCGCGCCCAACATCCCTGCCATGTACGAGCTCAATTTCGCCGCCCCCATGGCCGGAGCCGTCCTCAACTCCGTCAACCTCCGCCTCGACGCCCGGACCGTCTCCGTGCTCCTCCGCCACTGCGAGTCAAAGCTGGTGTTCGTTGACTGCCTCTCCGTCGCTCTCATCTGCGATGCTCTGTCCCTGTTTCCGCCGGAATCGCCGCGCCCTCTGTTGGTCCTCATCGAAGACGGCGAGTTCCCGGTGACCGGCCGGCGGGGTGAATTCGTTGACACCTACGAGGGTATGATCGAGAAAGGGGACCCGGGGTTCAATTGGATCCGGCCTGAGAGCGAGTGGGATCCGATTGTCTTGAATTATACCTCCGGGACGACCTCCGCCCCGAAGGGGGCGGTGCACAGTCACCGGGGAGCTTTCATCGTGGCGGCGGACTCCCTGAGCGAATGGGGGGTGCCGAAAGAGCCCGTGTACCTCTGGACGCTAGCAATGTTTCACGCCAACGGTTGGAGCTACACCTGGGGGATGGCGGCGGTGGGGGCCACCAACGTCTGCCTCCGGAAATTCGACTCGGCCGCCATCTACGCCGCCATTCGGGACCACAACGTGACGCACATGTGCGGCGCGCCGGTGGTGCTCAACATGCTATCGAACTCGCCGGACCAAAAACCCCTGTCCCGCCCCGTTCACATCATGACCGCCGGAGCGCCGCCACCGGCGGCGGTGCTGTTGAGAACGGAAGCCCTCGGGTTCATCGTCACCCACGGGTACGGACTCACCGAGACCGGCGGTCTGGTGGTCTCCTGCACCTGGAAGAAGAAATGGAATACGTTCCCAGCAGAGAAGAGGGCAAAAATGAAGTCAAGACAAGGGGTGAGAACACTCGGAATGACGGAAGTCGAGGTGGTGGACCCTGACTCCGGCATTAGGGTCAAGCGAGACGGGAAGTCCCTCGGAGAAGTCGTAATCCGAGGCGGGGCAATCATGCTCGGTTACCTAAAAGACCCCGAAGGAACCTCGAAGTGCATGAAAAACGGGTGGTTCTACACAGGGGACGTTGGGGTGATGCACCACGACGGGTACCTGGAAGTCAAAGACCGGTCAAAGGACGTGATCATCAGTGGCGGAGAGAATCTGAGCAGCGTGGAGGTGGAGTCGGTGTTGTACGCCCACCCGGCGGTCAACGAGGCCGCGGTGGTGGCCCGTCCGGATGAGTTCTGGGGCGAGACGCCTTGCGCTTTTGTGAGCATCAAGGCGGGGGTTAAGAAGAAGCCCACAGAGAGAGAGATCGTGGCATTCTGTAGAGACAGAATGCCACATTATATGGTCCCGAAAACAGTAGTGTTTCGGGACGATCTCCCCAAGACGTCTACGGGGAAGATTCAGAAGTTTGTTCTTAGGGAGATGGCCAAGGCCATGGGCAACTCCAGGTTGAGCAAAATTTGAAGTTAAGTGCCCAATGTTCATCCATGGCTGTTTTTTCTCTACTCAATAATATACCTTCCTCTCATAATTTTATGCAATTTCAATTTATTTTTTAGAAAATTAAACTTCTTATACACTAAATGTTTTGTACTCCAAATTTTACACCAGAGGTATACACCATCATTTTATGTCGGTGTAACGTCTGTGTGATAGTTCACACAGAGACAAAATGTTATTGCAATTTTTTTTGATCGAACTAAGGAGTAGCATATTATGCCAATGCCCAATGCGAATCACTGACAGTACATACATTTATTGTACACTTTGAAGTACACTTCTTGGTGTATTCCCTTGGTTGTTTTTTAATAATAATAAACCAACGTGACTCAAAAGGTAACTTTAATTATAGTACACCAACATGACTCAACAAAACATAAAAGATTCCATCTCTGTACCATTTTGATTTTTGCAAGACACTACAACCGCTAGTTTTTTTGACGGTACAATCATTAATTTTTCATTCCATTCAGAAAAAGAAAATATTACTCCCTCCTTCCTAGTTCCATTTACCAGATTTGACTAAAATTATTTTTAATTTAATTTATTTAATTATGTATGTAAAATTGATAAATAAAATTAAATATTTTAAAACTACATCAAAAATTCTATAAAACAGAAAATGATAAGACTATATTATTTTATCTAATAACTAACAAAAATAGATAAGAAAAATGATTAAAATTTGACCATGTAAATAATAACTGAATAAATCATTTTAGGACGGAGAGAATAATTGAACTCGAAAGGTGGACACCAGTGACCACTCCCAAAAATCAATGATTCCGTGAAGAAAAAATGCTAGGGTTACACCAAATGTGTACCCCATTTATCTCCACCCCCTCCTTGTCCACAAAAAAAGGCAAGAAATTCAAAAAATATATATAAATAAAAATAAAATAAAAATGGATGGTGGAGAAGGGTGTGGTATACATTTGGGGTACACCTAGCATTACTCTTCCGTGAAAGACGAAAATGAGTGGTTCCGGATCCTGGCAGTTAATTATTAAAAAGTACGCAATATTTCACATCAAAAAACTAAAAAAATAATGAGTTTATAAGCTTTTGAATTAAACCAAGTAATCGATTGGATTCAAGTTTTTTAATGTGATCAATTCAACTCAAAAGTTTATACACTTTCACATTAATCCCTCCCAATTCCCAAAGATCTATGACTCTGCAAAAGACGAAGAAATGAGTGGTTCCAACTCGTCGCAACGCGCGACGAGCCTCTCCACGGGGATCTTCGCCACATCTCGGCGGACCCCAATGTCGGAAACAAACCGGCTGACACAATATACGGCGCACCCCATGGCCGCTAGGCCCGGAAAGCTATTAGTCATGAGGCGAAGCGGCGAGGAGACCGCGGCGGTTGCGGCGGCGACAAACGACGCCGCCTGCCCGCTGCGGCCGACGCTGACGGTTGTGAATACGAGCAAACCTGTCTTGCAATATATCGCGAAATCCTCGCAGTTGTTCTTGAAGAGGTTGTAGGCCCCAAAGCCATTTCGGAGGAGGAACTGCGCTCGGTGAAGGACGTCCTCGGGTGGGTCCGAGGGGGCGAGGGTGCACGTTCCTCCTCGGAGCTTGGCGACGAATACGGCGGGGGAAATGCCGTATTGGAAACGGTAGAGGTTGCCGCCGGAAAGGAAACAGTCGAGGCACGAGGAGATCACGCCGTCCGCGGATGATCGGTTGCCGCATGCGGGGCACGGCGAGTTTGGAGAAGGGGATGAGCTCACTATGAGGCTGTCTAGTATGGTTCCTGTCCCAACTTCCTGTCCTGCACCTTGGGTGAAATGGATAACCTCTCCATTGCCAACATATATCCCTGAAGAAATTGTTTAGGAAGCAAGAGATCAATGATGGAATTACCATGGGTAAAACCGTAAAAGCAAAACACTTCTTTTCAACTAGTGACAGTATTTTTTATTTTCCCCTAAAATGAGAGAAATTTGGTATTCACCCCTCTTACTACATGTTGCCTTTTGATTTTCTTTTCTTTTCTTTTTCTTTGTAACCAAACAAGAAAAACCATTTTCCGTCTCATTTTCTTTTCTTTTCCCTTTCAAATTCCTTGAAAAACAGGTAAAAATGTATGAAAAGAAAAAAAAGGAAAACAAAAGAGAAATTTGAAAAGAAAAAAGGAAGGAAAATAAAGGAGGAATTTAAAAGAAAGTAAATGATAGAGAAAATCATTTGTAAATGACCTCGAAAATTCAGAATCCTGTTTTGGTGGGGGTATTTAAATTTAAAATTTTGGAATTGTTCCACTTCCGTTGTTTTGACAATTTGGATGTTGTAAGAGAGACGTATTCTTTAGACTAACATTGGTGTTTAATGTCATATTATGATATTGAGTCATTTAGGACCCTATAGTGCTCCTACTCGGCTACTTTAAGTCCAAACCAATCCCTGCCCTACACCCTCAATCCCTAGCCCCCATGTCCTTATAAACGGATGACATTCACTCATTTTGGGACACTTCTAGTGCTCCATTTACAAAAATGATCGTTCCTACACCCTAACCACCCCACCCCTACTCCAGTCCTACCTTAAGCCCCTTCAAATGTGTGGCTATTATACAATGGATAATAGCCACACATTTGGAGTGGAGGGAGACTTAGGGGGCTGCGAGGGCGGCTGGGGTGGGGCTGAGGTGAGGGTGGTTAGGGGTATGAATTATCAATTTTGCAAACAATGACCTCACCCTTCTTAGCATTGTCAATTCCTTATAGACTTCCAAACAAAGAACTGGAATTCTAAACGCAATCGTATTTTTAATTTGGTTTGCTTTCTCATTTCTCTAGCATTTTTCGGGATCCAAACATAACCTAAACCCGCAGAGATCTTCAAACCAACAGTAATAAGGTCACGAACTTGCAGTAATCAAACGATTAATTTCATCACTTGGCTAATTAAGCACAGATGAATGTTCATTTCATCTGCGATAATTTCATAAATTGCAAAAGCACAGAAAGTGAAAAAAGATAAACACTGCGATCTAACCGTGATGAGCGTAGAGGTAATTGTGCCTCCAGGAGTAGATGTGGTCGCCGGGTTTCAGTTCATCTCTTTCGACCTTGTTCGAGAAGACTGACATCGTTGCGCAACCTCCTCCGCCGTCGAGACCGCCGGATCCGGCGCCGTCTTCTGCCGCTGTAACTGAAATAAGGAGTTGAGGAGGCCGGGGAGGAGAAGGACGTCAGGACGTCACGCTTTGCTTTTGGTTGCTTCCTCTGTAAGATTTGGATTTTCTGATGTAACGAAATTGGAATAAATGCCTTGCTTCCCCAGAAGTCTTTTGGGCCGACCCCGCATCAACGTTTTCCTTGTATTGGGCTTTAATCTTTATCAAAGCTATTTTGGGCCTTCGTGGAACTTTCTAGATATGAATTGGATATAAGATCTTCAAAAAAAATAATGTTTGAATTCAATTTCTAAAACTATTATGGAGATTGACAATAGATATATCTTACTTTATTGATTGGCCCAAGGGACCCAATAATAGAGTTCATCATTTTATTCATAGTGAAAAGTAATGGATGATTTTGGGAATTTAATGTTTTTGAGAGATAATTCTACCATAAACCAAAGTTCCAAAAATACAGTGGCACTGCTAGTGTCACTGTTGGCAAGTGCCAACGGAACTGGCCTTTGAAACATTTTGAACTTTTAAATTAAATGTAATATTATCACTTAGTGACCATTTGCTACACAAAATTGTCAAAATTAGAATTGATTTGGAAATTAAAATTCTATGAAATTGATTTGGATGAAATTAAATTTTCCAGTTTTAATTCATTTTTGGAACTACCAATTCCAAATCATAACTCATAATTAAAGCACACATCATGCCTATCTACACAAAATGACAAGCAATTTGCAGCTAATTACTTATTTTGGGCATCAAAATTGAGAAATGGAATTCATGGAGAAGCAGCGGCTTGTAGTTTAGCAGTCTCATAGTTCTTCTGGTCCTTTGGGATGTCAAGATCCTTAAAGACTGGGCTGTCGACACCAACTCCCATCGCATTAAGCCCATTATCGACATACACAACCGACCCTGTTATGGCTGAAGCCAACGGCGATGCCAGGAAAGCCACTACATTCCCAACTTCCTCTGTGACACCAATGAAGAAGACACATTATTCATTGTTTGTTTTTTAGGCATCATGAAGAACAAGCAAGGGCAAGCCCTTCGGACGAAGGGCCAACTTGGGGATTCTAAGGTTGATCAATCCCCCAAGGAAGCATTTGGGGGGGGGGGGGG